CTCTGACAGAATTGTAGTTTATATAAAAATCTATTAATTTGTCAGAGGGTTTTTTGATTTAGCTTGTTTTAAAAAAGGTATACCACTTTAAAGTTTTATTAATAGACATTGGATGTCTCTTGCTGTCCCGCACTGTATAATACCTGACACTTATCTTTCATTGTTTTTTATTGATTAATCGTATCGCCTTTCTATCTTCTTTTCTTTGGATTATTATTTAATATTTTATTAATCATCATAATATCGGTAGGCCAATATTTGTACAATTTTATTGACCAGTTTTATATCTTATAGCCGATTTTTGGTTGTTTGTTTTTTTATATATTGCCTTCATATCATCCTATCATATAAAAAAATTTTGACCAGTGAAGAGAATACAAACCTTCTTGTAATAATCAGTCTGTTTAATAATAATAAACTTATCCGCCTCTTAATATCAAAAAATCCGTCCATGACACTATTTCTGAAATAGAACAAACTGAGGAAAATGACCCTTTAACTTGGTGGAAGCAAAATTTCCAACTCTTTGCATACTTGCAAAAAAGTATCTCCCAATTCCTGCATCTTCTGTTCCTTCAGAATGCCTATTTTCAGATGCAGACAACCATGTAACTCCTAAATGAAACCAATTAGATCCTTATTTGTTACATCAATTATTATTTTTAAAATGGAATTTAGTGTATTTAGATATTTTTCCTCCATTGCAGCATTAGACAAGTAAATCAAAAAAAATTTTAGTATAAGTAAATTTTATTATAAACATTATATATTTGAAAGTATTAGATAAAAGAATGATAAAAGAATATTCACAATATATCGATACAGTATATGAAATATATGTATTAAATATAGTTTTTCTGTGCTTGAAAATAAAACATTTCAGGTTTAGACAGTATAAAATTCAAAAAGAATAAAATTTTCTAAAAGTCAGATCATAAGAACTTTGAACTAGAACATGCTTATGAGTATAGAGGTATCTATTTACCTTGCAACGGCAATACTAAGTTTTCTCAAACCTGTATCGTACGCAACATGAGTTATAACAGATCTAAAGGTAGTACGATCTAACTATGTACTACGCACCATATGCTTAACTAATCGATTAGTCGATTAATCAATCAATCGATCAATCAGTTAACTATTAATCGATTAATCAATTAATTGATTAATCGATTAGTTGGACGTAATCAACTATAATCGATTTTTTACAACCAACTAATCGATTACAATTTTTTGCTCGATTCATAATACTACTCAGTTGGTTTGCCCATAATGTTGATTCAATCGACACATGTTATTTTTTCAATATTCACTAATTGAATAATAGCTTAGGAAGATTTTTAATGCAATTAGTTATAAATTAATTATACAATATTATGATAAATTACAGTAGTAATAATGGAATGATTTTGACTAAAGAAGAAGAATCAAATTTTGACTTAATGAAATAATAAAATTAACTTATTTCTTAATAATGACCATGGAGCCACAAAGATATAACTTCCGATCTGAAAACCTACATTAGCAAAGAAACTTCCGAATTTTGAAAACCTACATTAGCAAAGAAAAACAAACGATATTTAATGGCTGTGTTGAGTGTTTGAACGAATTAAAAAAATCTAACCTTTCATAGCCCAGATTTTAAACATTAGATATTCATTCACTATACTAGTACAATTGAAGAGCTTCATTTACTTAAGCTAGAGACAATTTAGGGTCATAAATTTTGACCGATTATAAAAAATAATTATTTCTGTGCACCAAATGACTGAATGTGCAAATCAAGAAAAAATTCGTACAAGACACTTTTATATCCCACTCAAGTGTTGAAGGTGCAATTCACAAACATAAAGTGATATCACAGGACGAGCTTTCAAAAAAGTTCCACCAATTCGTTCAATAGTTTCTGAAGATTTTCTAAACTGTGCACAGGAAAATATTAATTTTTCTAATAAATCCTATAATTTATAAATAAATTACCATTATAAGCAATTTTGTCTTGTATAGTAAGATTTATTTTTGCTATACTTTCAACAGAACATAAAGTTACATATACTATTGTATCTTGATTAGTTATCTTAAGTTTTTTATTCTGAAAATTTTGAACATTACACCCATTTTTAGTTCGACTACACTCTCATTTTATATTCGTTTACCTACTATCTGTATCAGAAAAATTCGAAGCAGTTTAATTAACTAAAACTAAAATTGACCATTACTTACAGTATTAATAACTTGCTGTGATAAAATTATCATTCACATTCCTGATCTCTAGCGATATCTCTAGTCATCCCATTGTACCGAAACAGAATCTCTCTTCAAAAGCCAATTAGAAATTTCACGTATGATATAATTCCCTGTCTCTCTAGTGCTAGTAAAAAGTAAATTTAATTATAATTGGCTCACTATATCTGTGTTGTTGTACCGACTAGTGCATAATGTTGGTGCACCGTCGACGTCGCACCAGCAACCCTACGCATGAATGGGAATGCTGTCTATTGACATACAAATTCGTTTATAAAACATTCAAATCGTTTAACATATAAATAAGCGGTCAATAGTGGTTAACTAATAATGGTTCTACAACAATGGCCTTACTAAATTTTTATTCACTATCAATTTTTTTAATTCTTGGGCTTGTAAATCAAGTAATCAGCGATAGTCCAGGAGCAAGGGAATGTCATTGTCTCTTTACATATGATAATGCAGTCTACTTGTTTGGAGGTGATATAAAATGGAATAATAGTGCAGTAAATTCGTTTTTTCATAAAGCAAAAATGCCATTTACTACCTCTTCAATTCCATGGGAAGCTCTTAATACTACTAATGCTTTTAATATTTGCGATATGACATGTATCGTCGAACCTTCTTTAAGTTTGCTGTTAGTCTTTGGCGGGTCACCTCCAGACTATACCAAATTCTTCCAAATTTATAATTTCAAATCAAATGTTTGGAATGATGAAAAAAATGATCAAAATTTGAATAGCTATCCTACAGAATTTTTCAACCACGATCTATTTTAATTGAACCGATGGTTATACTCATCTGGGGTGGTTTGCCTTATGATTCTCCATTTCGTGTTATTTATAGATTGAACATGACAGTGAATCCATGGAAATGGGAATCGATCGAACAAAATGCAAGTATAATGTTGATTATTAACTGTCATTGAATCTGAAACTTATCGTTATGCACCTGATTAGTTATCATAATTGGTGATCGACCTAATCACTTAGCGCTATTGGTTAGTTTCAGCTTCAGTAAAGTTTTTAACATCAACGTGACATGATAAAATAACTTATTTATATTATTATAGTCGTCAAAGATTCTGAATTGTGTTGGAATTGCTCGTTCAAGAGATGGCGTGTTTGTTTTCGGTGGCATAGATAGAGATACTCCGATTATTGAAAATGGAGAAAATAGAGAAGGAGCCCCAGTGATTTATCATATATTTATAATATTACGGAATCACGTATTATTCAGCCGAGCTATCAGCTTCCCTTTAATTTTACTCATTCAGTAGTAGGGGTCATCGGCGATTTTATGCACATTATTGTGTTAAGTTATAATGATTATCTTGAGGATAACCAGATATCTATTATTCCCCTTAATTTTGCTCGATTTAAATTTGAAAGTCCCGTTGTGACATCTACTAATTTGACAGAAACCCGATTTCGTGCGGCCGGAGTCCAACCTTCTGGATCAGACGTAGTATTGGTAAAAAAAAAAAAATATATTACTTACTTTATTTTATTTTAAATTTCTGATATTTTACTATATATTATTTAATAGATATACGGTGGTATTATTTATCAAAATTCAAGTGCACCTGAAACCGGTACTACATTAGACACGATGTTAGTATATAATATGACACTTCGTTCGTGGACAGACACTGTGAATCTTGTGACAGATGTTTCAGTCTACAATTTCGACTCTTCTAATACAGTCAATACTTCAAACTTTCCAGTTTTTCACTGGCCAATAATAGCAATTGTCATAATTATAACTCTTTCCATCATAACAGCTTGTATTATAGTTGTTATAATTTTCTTAATTAGAAATTTAAAGGAACTTCAATCACTCAAGTTTATGGCAGTATAGGTTTAATGAGTGAGAGTTTGTCAATGTTAGTACAGGTAAGATATTGTAAAGTTAGAATGTTTCTACATATTTTTGACCATATTTTGGATTTCTCTATTAATAATTATTAATAAACCAATGGCATTTTTGTAGGCTGGATGGAACCTTTTGTATCAATCAAAGCTTATAATTTAAAGATATAAATAATAGAATATGTATGTTAAAAGCATCCGAAATATTCATAGATAGATCAGAGTTCGACGAAACTACTGCTTGATTATTATTATTTTCTTTTAACTGTAATCTGAATTACGAGTATTGTATTTATTTTAAGCTGCATATTTTCATGTATATCGTATGGTTTAATTGTTCGAATAAGCTCCTAAGATTATCTTTTTGGCTCGTATTCACTTTTTTGTAATATTTGTGACAATCTTGCCTTCTAACTTAACTTTTTTGGGGGGAGTATTAATTAGTGATATTGATATAATGTTTTATCGTCACTATAAGTTTTGTTACATGATAAAACCGAATTTAATATATATTGTAATTGAAACAGTTAAAAAAAAAAAAAAAAATAGTTATTACTTTAGTTGAAAATATTGATTGAAATTAACTATTGTAATTATCAAATTTAAAGTCAACCAATTATAAATTAGAAACTATTGGAAAGTTCTTTGACATGATCAAGCTGAATGCATTGACTTATTGGTTGAATTTCATAAATACAGTCAACTCTCTTTATAACGAACTTCTATAATGAATTCTGAATATAATGAACTAAAAGTTATTGAATTTCATATTAGTTCGGTATAAGAAGAATTATGGTCTCTTAAGGATTTTTTATAGCGAACTTTTTTATAGTTAGAACCAGCAGTTCGTTATAGAAAGAGTTGACTGTATAATTATAATGAAGAACCTTACGACAGAGAGTTTGATTTTCGAAAAGAGTCCACACTTACATGGTATATAGTTATAAATATAACACAAGCCTAGAAGATTTTGTAGTTAAATATTTTCGATTGTGTCATTTTAAATAGCATGGCATGCGAACAGAATTTCTTTATTCCTAAAAAAGTTTTATAGAGATCGAAGAAACCGATTTACAATTGAGTTTATGTCAATATTATGGATGTATTTGCTTTCGAAGATTATGTATAATATTTAACAGAATAATTACAGAGCATGTGCTAATCTTGTAGTAATATTGATTAATTTATCTTCAGATGATATATTTAACATAAATACATATTTAATAATGATGAATCGTATATAAAATAATGCATTTTTATTTTTATTTTTACTTCAGCTAATTCTGATAAATTGCATGCTTCTGAAACCAAAACTAATATCAATGATATAACAGGTCTTACTTTATCTTTTTTAATTTTAATAGCATGGTAAACCGACTTCAAGCGGAAATATGGACTTTGAAGCATTGAATATTGTTGATGAGGACTCATCTTTATAAAGTGAAATATAATGCCAATTTTTCTTATATTCTATGCTTTAAACCAATTGCGTCCCTTCATTCAATCAAATATAGTAAACAGATTTAATAACTGGAGTATTCAAATATGGGATTTGAATAATTTGAAATATAAGTTTAAAAGGCTTATTCTTCAATATTTAAAGCTGAAAGATATATTTTTATAAGCCTTTTTGCTGACGCACACTCAGTTGGTTTGCCCATAATGTTGATTCAATCGACGTTACTTACTATAGCGGGTCTGTGTTACAAGAAAAAAAACTTTCAAGTACTGAATAAGCAGGTTGGATTTAAATTTAAAAGAACCCACATTTAAAGAGAGACACCGACATCATGTAATAATATACTCTCGTTAATCAATAACACAGTTAGTAGAACGGTATTGAATTTGCTAGAAACTCTGAATGCAGTATCCAAAAAAGGCAGTAATCCTTTTTATGATGCTATTGTGACGATCTGAATATTTCATATTTCGAAAAATGCAAACGTAACGAATATTTTTAATCGTAACTTTACCTAAAATTTGCTATATCTCAAAATTTTACTAGGGTAACCCTGTCGTGTAACTAAGTAAAAATACTCATCTCGCAATTTTACTTAACCCTAACTCTAAACCTAACCCTAATACTAACCCTAACCACATGTTATTTTTTTCGATCTCCGCTAATTGAATAATAGCTTAGGTAGATTTTTAATGAAATTAGTTATAAATTAATTATACAATATTATGATAAATTACAGTAGTAATAATGGAATGATTTTGCCTGAGAAGAATCAAACTTTGACTTAATGAAATAATAAAATTAACTTATTTCTTAATAATGACCACGGAGCCACAAGGATATAACTTCCGAATCTTGAAAACCTACATTAGCAAAGAAAAATAAACGATATTTAGGGTGTTATCAAGCACCTACCTCAATGAATTCAATAAAAAATCTGATTGGCTAGTTTGATCAAACAGACCAATCAGATTCGATATTGAGTCCATTGAGGTAAGTGCTTGAGAACGCCCTTAATGGCTGTGATGAGTATTTGAACGAATTAAAAAAATTCTAACCTTTCATAGCCCAGATTTTAAACATTAGATATTCATTCTCTATACTAGTACAATTGAAGAGCTTCATTTAATTAAGCTAGAGATAATTTAGGGTCACAAACTTTGACTGATTATAAAAAATAATTATTTCTGTGCACCAAATGACTGAATGTGCAAGTCAAGAAAAATTCGTACAAGACACTTTTATATCCCACTCAAGTGTTGAAGGTGCAATTCGCAAACATAAAGTGATATCACAGGATGAGCTTTCAAAAAAGTTCCACCAATTCGTTCAATAATTCTGAAAGTTTTCTAAACTGTGTACTGGTAAATATTAATCTTCTAATAAATACTGATAATTAATTTGTAAATAAATTATAAGCAACTTAAATTCAATATAGTAATACTGTGATCAACGAAATCCCAAGAGAAGGGACTCAAGAAAATCGATTTAATTGCTGTCATTATACAAAGAATTAATTATAACACTAAAGCTTGTTCTTGTCGACAAACAATTCATTATGTATAAGGATGTGTGGGTGTGTTTTATGCAACAGTTTAAAAAATTGATAATTTTTTTTTACGAAATTTTTATTTTAACATAAATTTATAAATTTTGTTCTCTGGAAAATTTTTATATTTATAATAAGAAATTTTTATTATTTCGAACTTCAATTTATTATTTAATAAACTTATACATGAGAACATACTTATTATTTACCATTATAAAAATGTTTTTAATAGAGAACAGTTTAGTGTTTAGCTGTTCACAAATAATTTAGAACTCTGATCATCGACTGTTCTGCAGCATCGCAATTAGCAAAATTTATGAAAACTTTTGTAATTAGTTTTGAAGTTATTAAATATTTTATCATTTTTTTTTTTTTTTTTTTTTTTTTGTAAATTGTTTATACGCTGTAAATCTTTATTAGTTAATATGGAACATATTACAATTAGGTATTACAGTGAAGGAGTCGTGCTACAC